GAGCAGCATATCTACATTTTGATATTGCTCTTTATGCTTTACCTACAGTTGTCCATTTTCAAACATTATGTTAGCTGTTCCAAGGTAAGCCCAAACACTGCTTCCAGAGGAACACAATCTAATAGACAACTTCAGAGGACTCTTGTAGAACCGCTCCTTTGTGTGAAAATTTGTTCCTCAATTGATGCCACACATATTTTTGGATTCTTTCTGTTTCCAAATGTTGACTATGTTGCCATTCTTGTGGTTCTCTGGAACATTTTCCTGATTCTAAATACTCTTGAAGACAGCAGCAAATTTGTTAACAAGTTCTGTATTATTACAGATCATGGCTGGAGAGTCATCAGGGCCTAAGGGCTTTGCACTGTCTGTTTGATTTGATTATCTTTATTACCTCTTCAGTAGAAGGAGAAAGAGATAGATGACCTTTCTCAGGAAACAGCTTGAGTAGATGCAGAGAATTTGCTGAGATGTGGGAATCTCAGTTGAGGAGCTTGACAAAGTATTTATGCCCATCTTTCCATTATCAGTGATTTGTTCTTTCCATCAGCTGTTAGGATAGCAGCAAAGGTTGTGGTCAGCAAGCTATTATCAGTCTTCAGCACAGTGTAAAATACGGATATGTCTCTCTGCTAGATATTGCAGCTTTTGTGCTCTACCAGTGCATTTCTCTTATTCTGAAGCTTGCATCTAGCAAAGGTGTTTATTAATTCTGTAAAATCTGTGTAGAACAGATGATAGTGAAATAGTAGCCTATGGGCTTCAATGGAAAGAACCTTTCAAGGAGGTTAGAAACATGGGCTGTTAGCAATTTGGGGTGGAAATTAATCATTGTTATGCAAAATGGTAACAAAAACTATCAATTTTGCCTGTTACCCCAAAGAGGTCTGAAAATGTACAATTCCAATTCAGCAGCAACCTGAAATAGGAGATAGAGTCTATGGATATGCGAATGAGGCATCTAGTTCAACTAAACCATTCCTCCCTCTATATATCGAATCCTGATATAGTTACCACTGCATATAAAAACTGCATTGGCAGTAACCTGATCTTCTTGCTGTGAGTGGGACGAAAGGTACATGCTACACCACACACCACTCCCCAGTGTTAAAACCTGCTTGTTTCATTTCCATAATGAGTGGCTTTATCAAAGCAATGGCTCACAGTGAGTAGCCAGTGCAATTCACATTGCAATTTCCATTTCTTAATGTAGATGAGCCTCCTTCCTGCATGACATTGTTATTCTAACAGACTGAACCAAGATAATATATACCCCGCAGCAGCCTTAGAATCTCTTTATAAAGCTGAAATCAAACAAGATTCAACTATGCAAGATAAAACAGCAACCTGTATGTAAACTGCCTGTTTTAATTGTGAAGTTTTCTCTCCCTTTATTACTTTGTTTTGATGTATTTGATGAAAGTGAACCCTTATGCAACTCATTTCATTATGTTGCAACTGGATTTCAGCTGATAAGGGCCCAATTTATCAAATATGTGTGTTAAAAAGATATGAATTCCAGTAGAGGTGCATTCCCTATGACATCGTTGGCCTTGTAAAAAGTGAACAGAATCTTTCTTTCTGACTACACCTACGGATTTCTAAAATATTGAGTTGAATGTTCCTCATCCCCCGTACAGAGGCTTGGCTGCGAGGGATGGGGAAGGATTGGTTAAATGGGAGAAGCATTTCTCAGCAAGTTCTCTGCATCAACTTGAACAGTTTCCTGAAAAAGAACATTAGAATATGCTTTATTGTCACATCTGTGTCACATCTATCTCTTTCTCCTTCTACTGAAGAGGCAATAAAGATAATCAAATCGAACAGACAATGCAAAGCATTGGAATGGCTTCCTAGTGCATTCCTGGCTCCAGTGGCTTTTCCTAAGGCAGGCTGGGACCAGGAAAATTGGCTTGCTCCTCAGGCACCCAATTAGGGCAATTACGTACCTACTTAAGAGCCATATGAAGCCGGCGTGGCCTCCTGCTAAATGCAGAGGTCCCAGCTCATGAAGGCTGCCTTGTAGCGACAAGTCGGGTTCCTATCAGAGCCAGAGACCCCCTGCCACAATGATCAATAGGATTAGTGACAGCCGCAAATACTCCTGCCAAGGGAATTCCCCTCTTTCTCAATGACTCTGCCAGCTTTGGGCACCTTTGTTTGATGACTCCACAACAGGCATACGAGAGCATTCCCATGCTGAGGTGCCCTTGTACTCATCTGCCTGCAGTGTCACCTCTCCAGGTCAGGCTGCTCACCATTCTGTCACAGCCCTCCAATGCCCATCCTTAGTTGGGTGAGGAATGTAGACGTGACCAACTCAGCAGCAACCTACTAAATGGTTGTGCCAGTGGGTGAGCTGAAGTCATGGGCAGATGCAGTTCCATCATTTGGCCCTGCAACTCAGATCCTGACATCTATCAGAAAAATTCAGTCCAACGTGATTAGGTCCTGGTTTAATTTCCTTCTACAACTCTACTAAACATTAAGCAAGGAATGCACCAACAGTCCTGCAAATTCAGTTGTCTTTGCAATACACAACATATATATTGTATTTAATTAGTACATGAAAAGAGATAAATAAAAATACTGCAGATGCTGGAAATCTGAAATAAACACAGAAAATGCTGGAGAAACTCAGCAGGCTTGTCAGTATCTGTGAAGGCAGAAAAGCCTGATCTGCCTCTTCTTCAAAACAAAGAAAACCTTGCAGCGAGCGTATGTACACGACACTTCAGATATCACACTTTGTTACAGGCTTATAACAAACTTAAAAATATTCATTACTAGTTCTGACCTGGGAACCTGAAACTTACAAACCTTTGCAGTAACTCCGAACTCAGTGGTTCATAAATTGCTCATTTAGTGGAATTTGCTGATTAAAATCATTGGTCTTAAAGGTTGAGTACAGAACTAAAGCTAAATAATAAAAGTCGTCATAGTCCTACCAGGCCATAGGCTTGCTCTACCATTAGAGAGAGAAGACTGGTCGTGGTTTAACCTGAGGGTCACCATGCCTCCGGCAAGAGGAGAGGTTGAGAAGGAGAGTCTTACATGGTAACCTCAGCTGGTGCAGGAATTGAACCCAGGTCTGTTTGGCGGCATTTTGCATCACAAGCCGGTTATAATCAAGGTTTGGTGCAACGTTTGCAATTATTAAATTTATTCCTCAGATTACAGGTTTTTTTAAAAAAAGTCCAGGTGTTTCAGTGTTTTATCCCTTAATGTGCATGTACTATTTTACGAAACATAGGATTCCAAGCTGGAGTCGGTGTGCACACAAACATGATGGAAGGCAGATAAAGTAGAACTGCTGGTTTGCTCAGCCTGTCCCCGACAATCAGACTGCCACTGAGCATCATAACCCCGGCGGGCCTGTCCATCCAGTTACATAATCTACTGACAAACAGAAACGTTAAGAAACCCAGGTCAACCCAGGGATATAAAGAATTCTGGGAAAGTCCGTCGTGGACCTGAAGCCAGTCCGTAAGGAAATTCTGGAAATTGGAGGTACATCCTCCCGATCAGTCTCCGCCAGGAACTCGGCTTATTCCCGATTGAAAATCGAAGGTGATATCTGTCCTCACTGCATGAGTTCGCAACTTGCAGACGACCGTGAGAAACGAAAATCTTCCCGAAGATTGAAGGACCAAAGTACAAACCTGATTTAGTCGATCTGTGCTCAATCCATGATGGAAGAAACAAATATTCTGTTTCTTTTTATCAAACTATGAGCAGCTAAGGACTTGAACGGGGGACTAATTTCAACCCTCTACTCCATTTGCCTGCACTGTAAAAGCTGATCTTTCTTAATAAAAAAAAGAAATACAAATCTTCAGGAAACAGATTATCACAGGGGTACACATTGGCAGGAAATCAAACACAATCAACTCCGTTCCAAGGGAGAGTCGCTCTGCCCAACTCTCTTCCCCTGCACAGAATGATTCCTCAGTACAGCCGCACGGGTCACCGTCCGCTGACATTGTCAAGAGAAGTTTAATGCTGGTTCTGAAGTTCGGAGGGGTTTCGGGGACGGGTCAGGTGATATTTAGACGCTGCTGCATGCGATACGATGCAAGGAAAGTGGGCATGCTGCCAGGACTGTGAAGCGGATCCGGCTACGCCAGATGTTGTCAGGATCTAGCAACTGGAATCTTTCACAGTCATCTTACATGAACCCAACTAACCCTCCCCCCCCCCCCTCCCACGCCTTCTTTCACTTCGTTTTTTTTAAGTGACTGCCTTTCCACAGCTTGCTGCTGCTTCGTGCCACTGACATCATAGCGAGGCAGGCAAGGAGGCTTAGAACAAGTGACTTAAAATATCTAAAAGAGAAACTGCAGCAGAAGAGTGCGGGATCCGGGGCAGGATTCTCCAGCGGAGCAGAAAGCTTAATGCAAATCACCCCGGTTTGGTGCAGGTCCGCCAGCACTGCAAGAAGGGGATATCGTGCTTTTTTAAAAATATATATATCTGTAAAGAACGGGTTCGTAATTTAAGTTTGCAGTCTGCTTGGCGTTCAGCAAGGAGAAAGCTGTCTCTTAAAAAAAATGCTGCAATAAATTATGGTGATGCGGTGAAAGTCTTTGCAGTTCAGTTGCTGGGGTCGTGAGGATCGAACCGGAACGTGGACACTGTGCTTGACATCGCGCTGGCTCGGGACTTTGCTCTGGGACTGCACTTGGAAAAATAAAGAGGGATTAGAGGCGACCTCAGCGCCATTCATCTGAGAGAGAGAGAGGAGGGTTCTGAACTGTGTTCTGACGTGGCATTTTTCCTCTACATTTCCTTCTCTTTCCCAGTCTGTCATCCTCAAGACCACCCCCACCCTCTCCAAACCCACCTCCCACTGTCGAGAGATTTG